TGCTAAAACAAACGGGAGGGGAGGATCGACCCGTTCAGTATAATTCCAAAGAAAGACTGTTGGCAGGAGGTGAAGACATTTCTTTGGCCCCTTCAAAAGGAAATTCGGGCAGGGTAGAGCTCGGCAGAGGGTTCGAGAATAGAATAGGGTAGGGTCCTGTCCTTCAGATTCAGATAAGAAAAGAGTTCCAAACCTTTATGCATGCACCCCCGTACAAGTGCTGCGTACAAGTTCCGGCCAGGATGATTGGGAAAGATCAAACCCATTTGAACCGCTCACATCACAGTAGTAGTAGCGTAAAGGCCCTAAGTCGGGGGGCGGCCATAACAGAAGTCTATTACTTTCACACCTCTCTCTCTCTAGATATCTATATCTAGAGAGAGAGAGATCCGCTGCGTGAGCAAAACCCGACTGTGCCTTACATGTGCTCTACAGGCCGCACTCCATCTTTCTTCCCAACGAGCCCATTTCTCTTTTGATTTGGAAGACGGGCGTTGCGTTCGGTTCGAAAGGCATGGTTTTCAGTATGTCTCCAGATAGGGCCCCCCACTAGTCCGGCTAGCTAGTGAGCGGTTGGAAGCAGGCCGGGCCCTACGGGCGGGCATCTCCCGCAACGCAAAGCAGCATTGTTCGCCACCACCCGAGAAGCAAAAGATTCGAGAGTCCAGGCTGAAAATACATGCATAGATAGTGGTCTAATGACAAGGCCGACGACGGAAGCTCGGGACGGAGCCGTATGATGCGGAAGTCTCACGTACGGTTCCCTGAGAAGGGAGTGGCTACCTACTGGAGCTTCGACCAACCACCACCGGTCAATTCCGCTTTGGGGCCACCCCTTACTCTACCATTATTATAGGGGTATGGGGTTCGAGACAAAGAAAGATCAAGGCAGCATATCAGTTTTTCCTTTATACTTTACTTGGATCTGTTTTTATGCTATTAGCTATTCTGTTGATTCTTCTCCAAACAGGAACCACCGATTTACAAATATCATTAACCACAGAATTTAGTGAGCGGCGCCAAATCTTTCTATGGATTGCTTCTTTCGCCTCTTTCGCCGTCAAAGTGCCTATGGTACCAGTTCATATTTGGTCACCCGAAGCTCATGTAGAGGCACCTACGGCAGGATCCGTCATCTTGGCAGGAATTCCTTTAAAATTGGGAACCTACGGGTTTTTAAGATTTTCAATACCCATGTTTCCCGAAGCGACACTTTGTTCCACTCCTTTCATTTATACTTTAAGCGCGATTGCTATAATATATACTTCCTCGACCACTTTAAGACAGATCGATCTTAAGAAGATCATTGCTTACTCCTCAGTAGCTCATATGAATCTGGTGACTATTGGTATGTTTAGTCGGGCGGCGGCCGTTAGGTCACCTATTTTTAGTTATGGACACACAAGGCCAAAACATGTGTGCCGGGCGTGCGACCCATCAACCTACTAGCAATGGGGGAGAAAACATAGCATGTCGCAACAAAAGCTTGATTCGAGGCGTCAGCAAAACACTGCCGTCTGTTCCAAAAACAAAAGCCCCTTAGCGCCCCGGGACGGGAGTGGGGGACGGCCCTACGCGCAGGCAACAGCAGCACCGGCTCTACGAAGTAAAAATCTAATCTTTCTGTTGGCATTCATTCGTGAATAAGAATTCAAGGGCGTGAAGCGAGCGCTTATAGCTGCTTCGCCTGCTTCTTATTATGGCGGCTATGTTGGCGTGGCGGAAATGAACGAAAAGCAATATGAACGTGCTATTTTCAAATCGATTGATAGATAGCCTGATCTGTTCTGATAGATCGAAAGAGATAGAGAGGGAATCTATCAAGAATCAGGGGAAATCTCCTATTTCTATCTATTGATGAGACAACTATCTATTCTTGATCCATCAGAAAGAAATCGATATGTATCTGATGGGGTCTACATCGTACGTAGAGCGCCCAAGCGCTTTTTAGGCCAGCTCAGTTCTATTATCCATCGGTCCAATGCACTGGGCTCATCTCATGGAGGGAAAAGCCAAAATGTAGTTGTCTTGTTCGCCGCCTCGACGCATTCCCTTCTCTCCCCGGCATCGTCCCACACAGAAAGAAAGAGCGCAGAGCCCCGGCCCGACCTCTAGGTCCGCTAACGTAAAGCGAGGAGTTGAGCCTGAACTGGCGAACCGAAGTCACTTTCGGAACCATACTTCCTACAGCTAACATGTGTCCAGTCCAGCGGGAAGGCGCAGCGCAAACGAACGTGAGCTGCTATACCGAATCCCACGCTGGCCATCGGGGACCGAGTGGTAAGGCCATGATCTGCAGGGGAACGGATCACTCATTCTTCCATTGGGGACAGGTACACGAACGACAACTCCAAACGTCACACATCCGCCGCCTACCTACCGTTTAGGTGGCACCAGCGAGATCCAGCTAAGGTAAGGAACTTCGTGTCGCGGCTGCTCCACTCCGCTGCGGTCTCATGAACTGAACTTCGTTGCCTTCCCGCGCGCGAAGCGAATGGGCGCTGTGCCGTGGGTCAGTTTCGGGGCGGGGAGCGAAGAGAGACCAGAAGAATGATTCATTTGGATCGCCTAGATATACAGGCTTTTTCAGCCCCAAAAAAACTAAGAATCAATGGAATGTCTGTCTATCCATGAACATCTATTCTATCTGTATATCTAGGCGATCTCTCTATACATATCCAAGTTTTTTATGGCATGATATGATCGCCTAGCCGTAGCCGCATATCAGCTGCGCTCAATAGCGGGATTTCTGTTGGATCAGATCTTTTGCTTTGACGGAAGCTTTTGGACCTAGCGAAAAGGACTCTATAAGCCTTCGCGCAAGCAAGCGCAAAGCAAGCAAATGAAGGGAGGCATTACGGGCCGACTACAAGAAGCAAAGCTTCGTAGACTCGACAAGTCGCTTATAGAATGCCGACTACTAAGTGAAGACTTTCCACTTAATAAGGGAAGGGGGGAGGGAAGCGAAGCTTAGCGAGCTTTATAAGGTCGACCACTACATATAAGCCGCTGGCGGAGAAAGCTCTTCGAGCTTCCCTTCATTCGCTTCGCGGGAGCCGCACAGCACATAGCTGGAAGTCAGAGGGCCCATATTACCTGCCTAACCCTTCGCTCCGAGGGACCGTAGATCGGAAAGCGCCTTCTAAACCACCCCATTCATCCAAAAGAGAAGGGAAGGGGCCTATGTATTTGCATGACCCCTGCAGATTGAACCCTATCTACACCCGGAGCCAATCCCCTAGCGGTCCTGCCACCACGCCGCAGAACGGGAGCTGGTGTGGAACCTTTTCTTTCTAGCGTAAGAGCGGTAGAACGTAACAAAATATTACGGCCGCCTAACATAGGGGCCGGAGGTACGGTAAACTCGGCCAAAATATGACACCCGAAGGGCCCGGCACGCACAATCCTATCCGATTTTGGCCGAGTTTACCCCTTGCACTTCGGACAGCCGTCCGTAGCATCATAAGGAGGACCCCCCTTTCGAGGTACAAAAAGAGTACGGTACATAGGAGGTTGGTCTTTCTCAACGTGGTGTATAGCACGAAAAACCTTTCGATACAAGATAGGGCCGTTCACATGAAAGAAAAAAATGAATCTTTTCTTCTCTTCTTTCTCTTTTTCCCTCGAGAAAGAGAAAGAGGGTCTTATGGAGGGAGGGGGGAGGGGAAAGGCTTGGGCCTACCTATCCCGATAGGACCCCATAAAGGAACGGAAGCTGTTGAGAGGTTCCATATTGCCGGGCCGAAGGGCAGCACTTCTGTACGTGATCGTAGTATGTCGTCTCGTCCCCGCTGCATCGAAGAGTACCTATGCACTATATTCCGGTTCACTGATAAGGAAGATAGAGTTGGGGTGGGGGTCTACGATGTGATACTAAAGTATGACCCGGAGAGATACATGCTAACTATGGGTAGGAAGCAGGAACCTTTATGTAAATAATTTCGGGGGGTTATAGATCTCTTATACTACCATCGATCGACAGAGCGGAACGACCAGAAAAAGAAGTGAAGTTAGAAAGCCGTATGATAGGTGGTAACTATCTTGTACGGTTCGGGGGGTAATCGGCGTACTCCAATCAGTGGGGGGAAATCTTTGGCTCTATCGAACATACAGGGAATTGGAGGTAGCATTCTACCGATGTCAAGTCATGGACTGGTTCCTTCAGCCCTTTTTCTATGTGTTGGTGTTCTATATGACCGACATAAGACTCGACTTGTTAGATATTACGGAGGTTCAGTGAGCACCATGCCGAATCTCCCTACCATTTTCTTCTCTTCCACTTTGGCCAATATGAGTTCACCTGGTACTAGCAGCTTTATCGGGGAATTTCTCATCTTAGTAGGAGCTTTCCAAAGAAATAGCTTAGTAGCCACATTAGCAGCGCTTGGGATGATTTTAGGCGCGGCGTATTCCCTTTGGCTATATAATCGTGTAGTTTCTGGGAATTTAAAACCCGATTTCCTCCATAAATTCTCCGATCCAAATGGCAGAGAAGTTTCTATATTTATACCTTTTATTGTTGGAGGGGCGACCGTCCATTAAACTACCAAAGAAAAAAGGGTAAACCAATGTGATCATGACATTGTAGGTGCTTGCGATGGGACGGATGCGACTTCCCTCAGTTGGTTTGGATGGCATAGCCCGTTGCAGAAGTCCCCCTTTTTTGATCCATTTCTTTAGTCTTTAGGGAGCCAAAGCTTTACTTTACTAAACTAAGAAAACAAGTTAAGGCTCGCCCTTATAGCATAGCTTAGGGGGCGCTCACGTTTTTTGGCTGAGCCCTATCATACATACGGCTTGCTGGGTGGGACCGAGAGAAAGAAAGGACGGGGGGCAACCATGCATGGTACTTCTCGACCGTGTCTCCGAGGGACAGTTGAACGAGCAACTCATGAATGCTGCCGGGTCGGACGAGCCAATAACTCGAACGCGTTCGGTCTGTTTTTTGAGCAAGAATCACAGCGTTACCTTATCTTCACCATGATACGGACTCCAAGTTCTTATGGCAGAGCACGAGGAGATTTATCATCAATATGATGATGGGAATGGAAACCAGAAGCACGACTGGGGTCTTCGTGGTCCAAGATAAGAAAACCATCAGTAACAGTAACGTAAGCATGAGACTCTTTGGTAGTACCGGTGAACCAGATGGCCGCGGTGATGGAATCTGGGACGGAGGACTTGTAGTATCTCTCTAGATCCGGCAAAAGCGAAAGACCCCCTAACATAATTCGAATGGAGGCTGACCGCTGAGCCCACTCTGGCCTCGCGGGGCGGGCCCCTGTGGTTGCGAGCTGGAGCTGCCATAGCTTATGGCTAGAGCAATGGGAGGGGCCCCGGCAGAGAGAAAAGTAAAGTAAGGATAACGAGCGCTCCGCCCGCTTGGCGGGCGGCAGGAGCAGCGAGCAAGTGCTTGGTAGGCCAACAGCCCAGTGAACCGGGCGGGGCACTCGACGAAAGGGGGGCACACTGAGCAAGTACGAGAAATTGGCCCCGCTCCGCTTTCTTAAAAGCAAGGACCACTACGGGAGGTCAAACCAAGGACCTATGGAAGTCGGGGCTCGCCCCCGGTCAATATTGGATCAAACAATAGGGGGCCGTAGCACTGACCTCTTTTTTTATTGATTCAATACAATAGGGGAAAAGATCGTAAAGTTCCCTACCGAGACAAACTCTCAACAGATCCTCCGCGCGCTGGGCATACCTCTTCCGTGCGTCTTTCTCGTGGCGGGAACAGAACAACAGGGAAAGACCCGGCCGACCGGCCTTTAAATAAAGCTCGAGGGCGAGCTTTATTTATTGTTGAGAGAATGGGGAGTGAATCGAAAGGCTTCCGTTTCCGTTCTTGGTTTGGGGGCTTTCGGGCCCCTCTCGATCTTTTTCGTAGTTGAGAAGGGGGAAGGAGTCTAAATCAATGGACATTAATGAACCATCATTGATGGACGTTGCACATGACACGATCAATTCGACTCAAGGTCCGGCGCTAATACTAATAGAAGTTGCTTACTCTCCTAGTAGCGAAGGAAAAGGGCAGGGCTTTTTTCGTAGTAATAGTGGGCGGGTCTCATGAGATCTATGCCGGCCGTCGGAATCAAAGGAAGGTCGAAGGACCATTCGATTCATTAAGGGGCATAGATCTAGGCCTATTTGTTCGGTCAATCATCAAAGGCAGGGGGGAACCACTATAGACGAGACCCCCCGGCCTCGATTCTTTTGCATAGTCCGGGGGCCGGCCGCAGCAGAGCAGCGGGGCATAGCGGCGCCCTCGCCTGGCGCCATTCCCGGACCTAGCAGCAGACGGGCGGGCCGTGCCTGAATTCAGACCGGACCAGACTCTTCTTTGTTTGAGCTGCTCCCACGCACGCAGACCGGAAGATCTCACTTGTCCTGGACTGGACAAGTACGTAGAGATCTTCGTGGGACCGTGGGGGGAGTCTCAATCGATCTTTTCTAGGATTCCTTATCACGCCACACATGGAGATCTTTCCATTGATAGATAAGAGGGCTCCCCCCTTGAACAGACTCAACAAGGTTAGGTTACTACCTGCCTCTACGGAAGAGGTGTACTTTGTACCGCTCGGAGGTCATATAGATCGGAACCCGGAGCGAGAAGAACGATAGCCTTACCCACAGCTACAACTACTGGCGCTTCAAAAGGCTTAGATTCTAAGGGCGCTACTGAAAGCCTTTTTTTAGGTCGTGTAATAGGGATAGGGAGGTGTAAGCCCCGAAAGCCTTTGGTACTTCGGTAGGGCGAGCAGCCCTTAAACAAAAAAAAAAAGGTTTAGAACCCTTCCCCTATTTCTGCATTTCATTCTCTATTTGGCCCACTTCAAACAAAATGAGAAAAAAGGGCCCTTCCCCATAAGGCAATAGCATAGCTCTTTCTTTCCCCGGTCTCCGTTCGAAGGAAAGGCCTTCGCATTCCTAATCCGGTAGGGCCGGACGGCTTTGTTTGCCCCAGCTTGGCGAATCGCATCCCCGCGCAACGATATTGTTTGTGCGCCCCTTACCGTTCTCGCTCAGTGTTTGCAACGGCTGGGAAAGCAGTCGTAGAAGCGAAGCCTATCGCCACGCCGACCATCAAATACAAGATTGGGCCCTTCTCAAATCTTTGATGAAATGGCCCAGCTCAAAAAAGGAAGGTTATAGTACGCGATGCGTTCCATTTGTACGAATCGGGAACATACCACGCACGACCGGACGTATAGCCACTAAGAGCTGGCAGACCGGGCGCAGGTTCCAGATTCGAAAAGTCGAGTCTCGATCAGCCTAGTGCACCAACCACGTGGTACGACGGGCACTCAAAGACCTGGCGAATGATGGCCCACCCCACCCAAGAGCGCTTATGTCATAGGGGAACTCATGGCTGGAAACAATCCTTATGGTTTTGATATCCGGTAGGAATAATAAGAATCAAAGTCCAGGTTGGTTGGTGAGCCTAGTGATAGGAGACTATCTAGCTTGGTTCGGAGAGCACTTGTTGGGTTAAAGATTTTTTTGTTGCTAAATGTTACGGCCTAAATGCTGAACTATTGACCCTACTTGTTCGGATGGGTGTTCACCCCAAAGTGTTCCCGGACCGCATGCATACATCCGTAAGTAACTTAGTGCAACATGGCAAATTTCATTGAGAAGAATCAGCAAAGAAAAGAAAAACGGGTCAACATCAACATGTGTATTTGAGAGATTGCCCTCGGGCTGAGGAGTGTCCACATGAGTTCGTTGAGGTGTCTACACAGGCCTGTGGTCCTCTTTTATACTCTGTCGAGAGTTCGGATTGCTCCACCTAAGTAGAACGAAAAGAAGGAATTGGAAATTCAAAAAGGGGGAGCCAGAAGCTTCGCTTCCGGTAGCTTGCTGACTCTCCTAGTTAGAAGAAGGCTCTTTGGCGGATTCTTTAGATCTGGATAGAGTCTCGCTCAGTAAAGAGAGTTGTAGATTCGTAAGATCATGATAGAGTCCCCTTACTCTATAGGGGCGCTAGCGCGCTACAACTAGCGGAGCAACCTGCGGAAAAAGGCTAGCGCGCTAGCCTATCACATCTTGAAGCTCTGCGCTCTAGAGCGTTTTTCAGCTGTCTGTCCCTCACTCGGTTCCGTACTCTGTACTCGCAAAAGAGTCTAGAATCGATTATTAGTAGGGGCCCGCTGCCTACAGTAGTTCGATTAGTTCCGTATCCTTTTCCCGACAGGGCGGGTTCCTGTAAGAAGACTACTACCATTTCTGAAGTCAGTGTTCCTGAACATCCTCCTAGGTAGGTTCTCGAAGTCCCTCATTGGCCTCAACCCGAGGGTTTTACGTGCTCCTCCTTCACCCCGCCAAGGGAATGACTCATCTCAGTAGGAGGGAAGACAAGACTCTATACTCCACTCGAAATTGAATATCCTTGGCTAGCTGCGTCAGAGCTTGATTTCATGGCTTATAGGCCCGGGTCACCTTAGTCTCGGCTCGTTCGTTCCGTATACTCCACTCGCCCCGTGTTGGCTTGATTAAATAGTATCCTACACTCGCAATGCAAAGAACTATGATTCAGCTGGGACCCGCCCTGAATGAAGGAAGGGCTCTTGTGTTATCTGGCGACGATCGGAGCGTTCTCTCGTTGCCTCGATCACTACAAGCAACCCAGCTGAAACATAGTCTACGGTTGCTTTTGCTAATAAAAAGATGCCTGCCCCTTCCAGTTTTGAAGCAAGCTGTGTACTAATTTGTGCTCTGCCATGCCTGGCCAAAAAAGTGATTCAACTAAGAATGTTAGAAGAAAGGCAGTTCACAGAGGAAAAAAAAAAAGTTAGCTCAACTCTTTTGAAAAAAATAAAGACAAGCATAAATGTATGATATCAAAATGTATTTTTTTGGTACCCTAATACAAAATATTATTTTTTTTAGGCTAAATTACAAAATTTTGGGAGTCTAATTTATTGAAGTGTGTGAAATCAATCTCAATATTTTATGATCAATCTTAAAATGCGAGAATTCATCCTAAACACTATCAAACATTTTAACTTCATCAAAAATTATTGTAACTTGACCTAATATTCATATTTTGTTGGATCAATCCTAAGATTTTAGGTTACTTTCTTGTTGTAATTTAACCTCTAAACGTTATATGTTACATAAAAAATGATAAACTTGGGTGTTAAAGTCAAACCCTGAAGACAACGGAGCAAAGATAATTTTGAACAAAGAAAAAGGCACTCCAATGAATGAGATTCTTGTCATTATTTGGCTTTGAGACGGATAGATTTATACATTCTTACCCTACTTAAATACTTTTTTTTTAAAATTCAAATCCGTAATACCTAATTTTCAACAGTACTATCTTTATTCACAAACCAAGATTTATGATTTGTGGCACAGCTTGATGAAACGGTATCATGTTTTACAGTTATGTTTTGTCTTTTGTCTTTTTTATTTTCCAAAAATGTTTTTGACCATGAGCTGCGACAGATTGAGCTAGCCCTGCCGGCGAATCATGTGGAATTTCGAAATAACTGTTGGCGGCTGCTAAGCGGCTTCAATAATATATATATATATATATATATATTAATATTAATTGAGAAGCAGGATCGTATAGACTCTGCACCATAAACCTCTAACAGGTGTTTTTTTATGTAGATCGTTAAATTATGATCTAATAGTCACTAGGCAAAGTTATTCAATATTAATTACCAAAATCTATTAAATTTAGCTTTTCACTAAATAGAAAATATCTATTACATATGTATTGTGATCTAATCCTATTAGGAAAATCTTAAAAATTAATAATAAAAAAAATTACGTCCCTGTTAATAATAAAAAATTGACCCAATGACCCAAATAGTATTTATCTTTATCCATTTAATTTATTATACCTATTTGGATTAAAAAAAATTAAATTCAAACCCTGCTCTTATGTCTATCTTCCAACAAATGTGCAAAAGTTCATAGCAGACTAACAGCGCAGCGGTTGTGCTACCTTTGTCATCTATTCATTTACTACGGTAATATCTTACATCATGATTTAGCTTACATGCATGCCAAGGACTTTAAATCTTTTGAATAGTTTAATCAATTGGCCACTTGATTATTTAGTTGGTTAAATGATTGGTTGTTAAAGCTTCTGATGATGTGGCTAAGTTAAAAATTCAAAAGTGGTGGTATTGACGAGTTAATGTTCGGCAAATTAAGTCAGTATAATTTTTTTAAACTTAAATTTAATAGTTATGTTTTTTTTTTATTGGGGACGAAAGTGCAATTTAATTACTAAATTCCACTGTATAGATATTGCTTGCCTCCATTGCTGAAATTTAGAATATTAAAACTTTAGTAGTGATATTACTTGTCTGTGTTTTTTAAATACTTGCCAATCAATTGCATATTTGTTTTTGTTTTTTGTAGGTAATTTATTGTGTAGTTAATAAGCACTCCTAATTGGGTTGATTAGAAATTTAGGAAAGAAAGATAAATATTAATTAATCTCCCTCAATAATTGGCGGGACTCTAGCCGCCCCAATTAGAATCGTGTAAAGACCGAAGAGGCGCCAAAGACATAAGCCAATGAGTAATGGTTTAGAGGAGTTTAATACATATATTGACATTCGTATTTAATACGACTTGACCTCTCATTTATGACAATGTGAGTGACGAAAACGAGATCATTAATGAGTCGCTGCATCCTCAAAGCCTAAGTCTACAATCATGATGGTTAGACATTAATGGCTATTATGCCAAGTATACATCCTCTGCGTGCCTTGGGGTACTGTCCCCCGAGCATTTAATGCTCAATAGTACGTGTCACCTGTCGATCGCAGAAATTTGGGTGCCCAGAGACAACTATAAATGCTCGACATGTCCCGAGTATTTATCCTGTCATCTTAGCATAAAATATGTGAAGATTTGGGTGGAGAACACTCATTACACATGGCTAAGAGTGTCAGACATTGAATGTTCTGATAGGACTTAAGGCCTATTGCACTCATTACTAAATTTAAGTATAAATACTTTTCAAAAAAGAGAGTAAAAGTACGTAGGACTAAATTGAGAAAAAGAATACACTGCGCTCAAGCCTCCAATTAGATACTGACTTAAATTTTGGAAGAGATAAAACAGGTGTTCACCCCGGCTCCCTTTCTGACCTTGGCGACCGTTATTTCAACCTATTGCAAGAAATCTCTCGTGCAATAATTATAAAACTGTGGTATTAAGGTAACAAACTACTGTTTACATAATGACCCAAAAAAGAAAAGCAAAAAAAATAGGACAAATTGGTAATTTGACTAAAAAATTGGAAAGACTTACTCAACAATGGTGTGCCCCGCAACCCGTTATTTTTAGCTTATTTTTAACCTTTTATTTGATAATTTGGCCAACCTGTTATATTTATTTTTAATTTTTTTTAACCCAAGCGGATATAATAAATTAAATGGATAAAGATAAAAATCATCCGGATTATTTTGTTGATCTGTTAATATTGTAGAGGTGCAAGAATTTTTATTATTATTAACCTTTAAGACTTTCCTAGTAAGACTAGATCACAAGAAATATATAATAGATATTTCCTATTTAGTAAAGAACTAAATTGGATAAGCTTTCATAATTAATTTTGAACATCTTTGTCCTGTAACCGTTACATCATGATCTAATCGTCTATATAAAAAATATCCACTAGAGATTATGATGCAGAATTTTTATGATCGCACTATTCGTTAATTAACATACTTTCTAGAGAATGTGTCTTGTTGATATTTTTTCAATAATTTTTTATATTTTTTACTTTCACAAAATTGTAGATCGATTATTGTGTATAATCAAGGGACCCATTTTCACAAAATAGATCATACATAAATTCGCTATGAATTTATTATATTAGAATTTATTTCTTAATTAATCATAGATTTTCATCTTTGAGTTATTTGTGACCACTAATTATAGAAATAATAGAATAAATTGAAGTAATTCAAATAAATTAACTCTTTTCATGTGTCATCTCATGATCTATTGAAAAAAACCATATTTAAGCAACTGAATATCAACTGAAGTATTTAATGGCCACTTTCCTCTCCATGGTAATACTTGAATTGAACATACTACCTACCACCCTTTGCTCATTTAAAGACATGTTAATCGCAAGAATTAAAAGTTATTTTATTTATTTTTTAGAATTTAAATTGTTTTTTAATTTATTATATATATATATATATTTATTTATTTATACATCCCTTTTGAAAGATAAAAATATAAATTAATCGGAATCGAGCACGAGAAAAATGACAGACGCCTGATTAAGACGAATCAAACCACTTTTGTTTGTACAAACAAAAAATGTACGAATGGTTCAAATTTTGTTATCGCTGGCCCTGCATGTTCCACTTACACAAGGCCTGTGGTCGATAATCAATGCCTTGTAAAAATCTTGTGTCAGTGGTCCAAATTCACATCTAAATGGACGAATACTTCAAAGGACACGTAACTTTTGAATTTTGAAGGAAAGTGTAAGCCAAAAAATGGGAGCCCATTTCCGTTATTTGTGACCATAACTTTTCAGTATTATAATTATCCTTAAATATTAGATAGTTAGTGATAAAATTTTTTAATATGTGTATACTATTATATATGAATAATATTTGAAATAAAAATTATATTAATTATAAATTAATTAAATATTAAATAATTAAACATATGATAAAAATAAGTGATGTGATATTTTTATGGAGAAAATATATAAATAATTAAATATATGATAAAAATAAATTATGCGACTTGACGTTGGGTAAGATAAGTGGTTGGTGATAATTTTAAGAAAAAAAATATGATTGAAATTAAATTTAAAATATGAACTATTTTATTATATAAATTAGCTGTGATACAAAAAATATCTTTGGAGAACTACGAAAGCTTTCATTTACTTGCGGATTGCACCGACTGATCCTAGATTTGAAATGAGGGGCGGCTTAAGAGTGTTGTAGAAAAAATATGGGTTTTAGGCTCCATTTTTAAGAAGGTCATAATTTTTTTAGATATCATAAATAGTCTATATAAAAAAATTAAATTTATAAATACTTTAAGCCATATAAAAAAGTCTTATAAAAACACAAGTCCAATCAAAAAAAAATTTAAGGCCTTACTTTAAAATTAGATGACTTTAATTTCTTTCGAATTCTAATATAAATCATATTACTCGTGATACATTTATTATTAATAAATTTGCATAATACTGATTAACGTACTAAATTGAATAATTAGAATGCTTAAATATAAGTTTTGCCACTCAATCATGAGCCTAGCTACTATTTCTTGCCAATTATTATAATCTAGACTTGGTTTGAAATTTGCGATTATTTCAGCACGTGAGATTATTTTTTCCATGTCCGAGTCTGGGGATAAGTGCGCGCTTATCCAAATTGCTAAATCTAGTCCCACGCCTAAGCACACAAGGATTGAGTCTCACCAATCAAGTAACAATTTTCTTTTTCTTTTCTTTGAAGAGTATGCTAAAAAATAAAAAAAAAGATCTGCTGTCATACATTTAAAAAAATATAAAATTTTGGATTTAATATAGATAGTCATAATACACATATACATTACAGATTATTATTTTAGTACCCATCACTTACTTAAGAAAGAAAACAAATATAGGGAGATTTCGAAGTCATCACATAGAAATAATTGGATTTAATAAAGAGCAGCTGATAAGCATATATATGCACATGGGTGGTGCGGTATTTAAATCATACGCATTTCTTGTGTTTTAACGCTATAGTTGGTATATGGTAATACTTTTAGGTAAAAATGGAATTGATACGAGAATGAACTGGATTGTACATTACCATTTCAATATGTTTTACAATTATTTGGGATTAAGTTCTAGAATAACATGCACATTCCATTCTTATATTTAGATAACAGAATTTTTAATGGAATAGAATGAAATTTGACCAAAATAAGTATTTTGCTATAATAAAGAATTTCTAAGTTAATGAAGGTAACATACTTTGAAAAATTACACAATTAATACACTTATGAGTAACCA